GGGGAAAAATTTGATAGAATAGTTCTTTCTAGGTCGAAGTCTAGGTCCCAGAATTTAAAATAAAAATGAGATGAAAAAAGAACTTTGTCATGCTTTATTGGTGACCCACAGCAGTCTGTCCAAATATATATCATATCTGTCTGGTGAGAACCTGAAACCCACCAGTGAGGCCAGCTTGCACCGTAGGGTTATAGGGCCTACAACTACATTCTAGTCTATGTTTTTCCTTCTTATGACAAATAACACTTTTAACAGTAACATGAAGAGAGCACAAAGGGAAATGATCTAACTTTATAATATAATTATAATACATATTGTTATATATGCTATTATATTCCTAACTTCCTCCCCCCCAAAATTCTTGTTCATTTATCCCTTGCAATGGACTAGAGTCGTCACCATGCACTGAAAAGATAACAAAAACGCTAATACCATAAAATCTTTCATTTTTGCAAGAGTAGCCAGTTCTTTTTGTAAGAAAACTTCAAACACATTGAACTCTTTCCTAGCTCCATAAATGGCACGTAAAATACCTGACCTAAGAGGACTTCCCACTAAGTTCCTTATAAAGCCATATTTTTACCAACCTTTGAGAAAAATGAGGAGTTAGAGTAATAGACCCTTGATCTCCTCAACATGTTGTCTAGCAATTGTGCTACCCACAAAAAGTAATTTAAAATTGATCAGACAGCCTAAAGAGGAAAATAGGAATCCAGCCAAACCAAAAAGAAAGAACCCAGCATAAAGCTAATCTGAAATAAGAAAAACATCTAAATGTAGCCTAACATCTAGATATTTGGGAATATGATAATGCTTTCCAATAAAAATATTCTTCTCAAAAACAAATTTTTAAATTAATGTTGAAAATAATATGTCATCTCACTAGTTAATGTTACAAAGTTAGAATATTCTTGGATAAAGAGCAAGACTGCATTTATGGATCTAGTGGAACCATAGATCTTACGTAAAGTCTTCACCAACAATTATACAATTAGTACCATTGGATGCAAAAGGAAATTAACCCAGGAGTGGGTTGCACACAGCTAAAATCTCTTTGCCAGAAAAGCTTGATTACCTCCCTTATTTAATGTTACCCAATGCTGTGTATATACCAATTTATGAATTTTCATTTTTAATGTTATACTTGTATATTTCTTCCACTATCTGCTAACTACTTCATTGTTTGCATTGGGTGCTATTTTATTTATTTTTGAACCTAATATCGGTACTGTAATTGGGATATATTAAACAATCAAAATTCATTGATACAATGGGGAGTTTTCCTACCACAATCACAGTGTTCAATTACCATTTCATGTGAGAGTCTCATGAAATGAACTACTGTATTTCTCTTAGTTCATTGGATAGTCAAATCTATGGCATGAGGTAGGTCAGTGAAAGTTTCTGGCTCCATTTGATATGCCAGAAGACAGATCTAAGCATTTAACTACCTTTTCAAGTTAGCATTACAAGGAAGTGAATTTCTAAACTGAAATAATGGTATTTGATTCCTAATGGGCTTTCTTTCTATCACTTTACTAGGCAGAAAACAGACAGCACAACATTCTGAGTGTTGTCTCTCTTACTGTCTTAGGCAATGACTAATGCTATACTATCAGTTCAGCACTGAACCACTATGGGGAAATATTCAAAACTAACCTAAATCTGTTGTCCTGATGAGGTTTTAGAGTTTCTAATATTAGCACAGATGTTTGTCCCCTTGTAATTATATAATTCTTAATAATGCACTTCAATGTACTATCATCATGAATTGTATGGGTGTCTGAGGGAGGAGGCCATCTGATCTCCACATTATCTCAGGGAACAACTAAGACTAGAAAATTAAAACTATGTCTTCCTACAACAAGACACTTGGAGAGAAGGCTGTGGATTTGTCACCAAGCCACTTCAAGGCACCACAGCATTTAGGTCATGGCCTTTTTGTTTTGTATTCTACCGTGCAATAAAAACTTTACATTCTTTATTAGTGGTTTATCAGAATTTCCACATGTCTCTCCTCTGATTAAAATTCTCTGATATATCCCTCCCCCAGTATAACATCCTCTTATTATCTTATCCTAACTTTACTACCAGGCCACAAAACCCAAATTTCTTCCATTCACAAGCTCTGTTGTTCATTTAGAACAGTCCATTCACTCTCCTTTTGATTTCCAATCTTATTCACCTCTAATACTTTTTACTCACCCTTTCCAATTGGTATCTGATCGATTTCATGAAGAACGCCGCCTTACCTACTTCTATGAACAGCACAGGTCTATAGCTTTGCACAGTGGTCACTTTCACTGAGGACTTGACAATTGCTTCAGACGCTAACATTCCCTTCTAGTATTTTAATGAATCTTACCATGAAAAGACTCTAAACTCCTGAGGAGTCAGTTTGTGTTTATTTGGGTTTTTTTTTCTCTCAAGGACCAAAATAGGGACTGAAATTAGGAAACACAAACATGTATTTTTTTCAGCGAATTAATTGCTTGTTCCATTTCCCAAAAAATAGCAGGGTAGCCACATAAAGTGAAAGGACTGGCAGACTGTTGCTCTAGGGTTAAGTCATGGGCTTTAGAGCCAGATGTCCGAAGTTTCAATTCTGCCTCTGTGGCTACCAGCTGTGTGTGGAGTTAACTGATCTTTTCATGCC